CAGCATCTCTGTCGCTTCTGCATCAGACAGCTGGTCCGCATAGACCACATCCAGGAGCTGCCGCTACCCACGTAAGCACACATTTGTTCTTGTATACCTGTGAGGACCCTTGAAGACAAGATGACATCCCCAGCCCCCTGAACCTAACGTTAATGTTGATCTAACTCTAAACTGTATCCTGCCAAACGGCCTTTAGGAGTGTGATGTCGAACAGAAGGGATGGGGTGACATGATGTTTCTTCCTCGTACGACTCGATGCACAGTATGGCCATGACTCAGTCACGATGCAGTTAAAAATTCACTTACAACAGTGCTCGACTAGCTGTGGAATGCTTGTGCTTTGGTCCTCTTTTCTAGCACTGGTTTGATTATGTAAAGAACAACCAGTTTTCCATATTTAGTTTCAGACTCCTCCTAAAAGGTTTTTTTCTCATCAATCTACACACAATACTCCACAATGACAACGTGAAAACAGGTTTCTGGAGTTTTCTGTAAATGTATTAAAATTAAAAAACTGAAATATCCCATTTACATCAGTGTTCAGACCCTTCACTTAGGACTTGGTTAAAGCTGCTTTGGCAGCAGCGACAACAGCTTCAAGTCTCCTTAAGAACAAAGCTACAAACTCAGCGCCTTCCTTCTGGAATTTTCTTCCATTCTTTTTGGCAGAATCGTTCCAGGTCAGCCAGGTTGGATGGGGGGGCGGTGGTGCACGGCCATGTTCAGGTCTCTCCAGAGATGCTCTGTTGGGTTCAGGTCCGGACTCTGGCTGGGCTGCTCCAGGACTTTCTTAGAGTTTTCCTGAAGCCACTCTTGTGTTTTCTTGGCCGTATGCTTTGGGTCATTGTCTTACCCCAGCCTGAGGTCCTGAGCGCTCTGGAGAAGGTTTTCATTCAGGATTGCTCTACATCTTCCTGCATCCGTCCTCCCCTCTGTCCTGACAAGTCTCCCAGTGGCCACAGCCTGATGCTGCCTCCACCATGTGCGACTGTAGGAGGTGAGGTGATGCTCAGGGCCTGGTTTTCTTCGCACACTGTTGGAGTTGTGGCCAAATAGTTCAGTCTCTGTTTCATCAGACCAGAGGACTTTGCTTCTCATGTTCTGAGAATCCTTCAGGTGCCTTTGGCAAACTCCCAGCAGGCTGTCATGGGCCTTTTAGTGAGGAATGGCGCCCATGTGGCCGCTCTACCACAGAGGCCTGGTTGGTGGAGTGCTGCGCTGATAGTTGTCCTTCTATAAGGTTCTCCCGTCTCCAGAAAGGAACTCTGGGTCTCATCCATAGTGACCCCTGGGTTCTTGGTTACCGGTCTGACCAAGGCCCTTCGTCCCCGAAGTCTGGCTTGGGGACCAGATCTGTGAAGACTGGTGGTGGTTCCACATCTCTTCCATTTGAGAACAATGGAGGCTGCCGTGTTCTTGGACTCTTTCAATGCTGCAGACATTTTCTTTTTATCCTTCCCAAGATCTGAGTCTTGACACAATCCTGTCTGTGGACAGTTTGCTCCACCTCATGGCTTTGCTTTCACTCTGACACACACCACCAACAGTGAGACCTTAGACAGGTGTGTGCCTTTCCTCATTAGATCCAGTGCATTAAATTAGACACAGACGGACTCTCGTCAAACTGTCGAAGCATCTCAACGACCACTGACCGGAGCAGGATGCACCAGAGCTGAACTGCAAGTGTCAATACAAAGGCTCTGAATACTGATGTAAACGGGATGTTTCAGTCTGTTATTTTCAGTACATTTACAAAACGCCCCACAAACCTGTTTCACTTTGTCATTGTGGAGTATTGTGTGTAGATTGATGAGGAAAAATAAAAGTGAATCCATTTTAAGACGAATCTGAAACCTAACTGAATGCTCTCCATACTGACTGCATATCGCTAGACAAACTGGTACATATTGTTGTTTTTGATGTTTTGTCCCGTCCCTAGAAAATAGAACGTGTTAGTAGAACATGAGAAAACTAAGAGCAGAACATGTTTAAAATTATGAGCAAGCATGTTGTGCACAGTGTCCTCACTCACAGATTTTGATTGATTGATTTGATTTATTCTTTCAAGCATGTAAAACTGTTGATATGACAACACACATAATTTTACACATAATCCAATATCAATGTGCTTATACCTAGTACATGATTGAATGGAGTAGGAAGAAGTCAGACTTATCCAGTCCTACCCCATGACATCATCTTACATCATTGGTTTGCAAGCAGTAAATGATTCACTTCTACCCACACAAGTATTATACTAAAAAAAGATTTTAACAGTGTTAACATTCTTACATCACACAAGTAATATACTAAAGAATTATTACAAAATGTACACCACACCCACAATTGTCCATGTAATTAACCATTGAGCCTGTTCTTGCATATAACTGCGATCAGTGTGATGGAAGCTGTGATGCAGAAGCTTTGTGTTCTCACTGGGATGTTGAGCCGACAGGAGCTGCACATGTGCTACCATTTCGTTGTGGTGTAAAGATGTAAACCCTACATTGTTGAGTCTGGGCCAAGCTCTGGTGTTGCATCAAGGCCGCATATTGAAATGGTTTGTCCTCACCGTCTCCTCAGGCCTCTGATCGCCTACCTGAGGAAGTTTTACTACTACGACCCCGAGGAGGAGATCAGCCCAATGCTGCAGGACAGGGTAGCGGAGAAGAGCAGCCAGCCGCGGGTTGAGTCCCAAACGTAGCACTGGAACTCGAGAGATGACGTGAGTGTGTCAGCACGGGGTGAACGTAGAGACGGGACTATCAGTAATTACATTTTTACATCTAAAACTGTCTGGAGTAGTTGTCAATACAGCACAGCTGGTCTGGGAGAGAGCCCCCTGTGAGGTATCTGCTCATACACCTTCAGTAGCCAGAGACCTTGAAGGACCCCTGACGTCTTAGCTTTAGCTTTCATTTGACGCCGGGCTGGAACATGAGTCAAGTTTTATTTTCAGTTTTGGTTTCCAGCTATTATGAAAACAAGATAATCGAGATAAAACGGTTATTGTGCCACATTCAGTTTTGCAACAAAGCTCGTTTTGCCTTGTGTTATACATCCGCTGCACCCTTTCCTTTACATGTGCTCTTTCTCCACCCTTACAGCTTTAAAGTCCTGAATTCCAGAAGTAATAAAAACCCGTTTCCTCTTTTCTTTTCCCTCCAGTTCTTTTGTTTTCTTCTGATTTTGGTACAAGCTCACGGAAGGACACTCAAACATTCAAACTGGACTTGCAGGCTGCAGCCAATCGGCTCCCTCTGCTCAGTCCTGTATCCAAGCGGGTTTCAGATGATCCACCCTCTTCCAGGCTCTCTGTATGGCTCGCAGGGAGTCAGCGGGGGAGGAACAGGGGATGCGGAGACTCCGCCTCTCTCTGATGTCACCACTGAGCAGCAGGGCTACAGGAAGCATCAGCGCTAGCAACGACGCCAAAATGTCTACAAGGAAAAACACAGAGCGTCGGTCCAGTCGCCTCTAGGATCCTTTAACTTCCAACACTGAAAACGGAATATTCAGAGAGTACGGAACACCGCTGCAAGTCTGTCCCAGTTCACAGGTTGGAACTGGAACTCACAGTCCAGCAAAAGATCAGTTGAACAGGTGTCCAATGCCATAGTCTAAGATCCCAGAATGTTTACACTGTGCTCTTCATGACAAAGTTGAAGCCAGGGATTATATCCTCAAAGACTCACCGAGCAGCTGGCAAAATCATCTCACCACAAGGCCCTTACAGCTTTAAAGTCCTGAATTCCAGAAGTAATAAAAACCCGTTTCCTCTTTTCTTTTCCCTCCATGACAGCAGGTGACAGTTACTAGAAACTTCCTGCACATTTGGGTCAGAAGCTAAAAGAACCAAAACTCTGGTCCACTTTAGTCCTTTGTTGTACTCTAATCGGTATTTACACAGACTTCGTCCATGGCAATGATGAACAACAAAGTCCTGAGCATCTACAGCTCCATATCCACGGAGCAGACTGCCTGCTGAAGATCAAGCTTCAGGATCGAAAGCTCCAGAACTAACTGAAGCTTGTGCTGAGATTGTTTTGTCAGCTGCTATTTCTCACGTGAACAAAGACTTCTGTCATGTCTCGCCGAGCAGTTTTCAGGCCCTCACTGAACCAGCAGCTACTTCCTGTTCAGCTCTTTGATGGACTGAATCACTGTTACACAACACATAGTGTGTGTGTTTCCACAGTGTTTCAGCCCAGAATATTTATCACCTGCTAAAACCGTTTCAGTGTGAACTCTGTGCTGCCCAGTTCCAGCAAGTCCCCACAGAGTGTTTGGGTGGTGACTGGAAGAGCTGAGTGTGAGCCAAGTGAACCAGATGCAAAGCAGGTCGGCAGAGCCACAAAGAGACGAGATCAAAACAGGATCAGTTGGGTCCTGCTAGTTAGCATTAGCCAACATATGTCGTTGGTACGTAAGCATTTTGTTAGCTGAACTGAGCTTGCCTCCATTGTAGGTTTTATTTCTGACTAATTTGTTACCATGCAGTGTTTTAGGCAGGTCCATATGATTTAGAGAGAGCCAGTGAATGGATGGTATTTACACGTCGGGAGCTTTCAGTCACAGAAACTCCCACATCTTTTTATTTGTTTAGTGCCAAGGCAGATGCTGTCTTTAGACACATCTCAATATGTTTTCTCACAGAGTTAGTGGAATAAAGGATGAGGTCAGATCAAATCGGTTTGTCCAAGCAGGTCTAAAGTCAGTTTAATGCCGAAGGTGGGATGAGCACCCTGAGAGAGACAGAGAACTGCTGAGGGCCTAATCTCACTGAGTAGTCGCACCCTAAAGTGGCACTGACTGTTGGGTTGTCATGCTTCAGTCGCTGTGACGTTGGACAGAGGCTGGTGAGCACTGAAACAGACGGGCCTTTAGCCTGGGAGATGTCCATGAGTGATGGGTACAGTCAGACAAAATATCTTCAGGCTGGGTTTGGGTCTGAACACTGGTTTGGACTGGTTTGGGTGCCATGCAGAACTCGACTCTGTAGTCTGACATTTGAACCCTGAGGATAAAACAAACCTAAGAAAATTAATTTGTCTATTTTTGAAAGTACTGGGTCGTGATTTGAACAAGAAAGAGGAATAAACAATGACAAACCGAGGAACAGATAGATGAGACTTTCCTGTGGTAGAAATTGGTTACGGCTCACTCCTGCTTTTTCATTTTGTTTGCCAAGGATTTGTGATATAATTGTAGGAAAAATCGCTGTACAACAAAGAAATGGCATCGCTCCCCCGCTGGTAGGAAGTCTGGGATCCCTGAGGCGACTGGCCACACTGACTGCTGAAGAAGACGGCGGCTTACCGTGACGACTACTGAACTACGGTGTGATGATCTGGGTGTTTCACTGGAACGAGCTGGTGTTTGGAAGGACTAAATTTAACTCAGACACTGGGAACACTGGAGCTGGGAGCTGATCGCCCTGTGGGGACACTTCCATGATGTCAAAACAGTGAAATAAGTGTAACCACTGCACAATGAAGGACTACAGACCTGCTGAGGCCTGAAAGACAAGATGTGAAGCTTATTTCATTGAAGTGGTGATCTGTCATCTTTGGTGCAAAGCAGTCATTTTTGTGCAGTCACCTGTCAATAAAACAGTGTGGGCGGGACTTACCTCTGTCTGCAGGTGAATCTTCTTCCTGTGTTTTCATCTTGTGAGGCCTGTACGGCGGGATGTCGTGCGCCTCTGTAGGCGCAGTCTGAGATCCGCCCAAAGCACTGAGTATCAAACTTCTCAGATTTATAATCCTGGAGATGCTTGTTCACCACATTGGTTTTCAATGTTAGGCGTAATTTTATTCAGACTAAATTTTTGTACTGAACTTTTTGTTCAAGAAACAAAGTAGCTTTGCGACTGAATCTTGAGGTGTGAAGATGAAACGCCTCGGTTTCCACAAAAGGGAGCAGGAACCTTTTGTGGAGCTTAGTTCCTCTACCTGCGTTTCCATTGGAGGAACCGGGGTCCAAATTTAGTTTGGGGAGTTCTGTCGTTTCACTGAGTTGAAATGTGTTGGTGTCAGCAGTGATATGTTTAAGGCTTTTTATCTTAATGCCTCCAGATTCAGAGTCCTGGATGAGTTTCTCTTCTTTTATATGCACTCACTTTGACTCCAAACGCCAGCTAATTAGCAGTGAACACAGAACAGCTGAGGCTGATGGGAATGTCATTGTTTTTCCAAGTGTTTGTTCATAAACCAAAGTACTGGACATTCAAATGTGGCCTGATCTTTTGAGATGTGCAGGAAGCCACGTGATGAGCTGTGGGTTTGAAAACTAATCTTGCACAGTTTGGTGAGTCTGTTCAGTGGTGCTGATGATAATCACAGATGACTTCACATCTTCCCCAGGCCCCTGTTAGCTGGATGAGACACCTGGCATTATCATTCACGTTACACATGCAGGTAAAGTCCACCAGGTGGGTCTGCAGCCCGCCGCTTCTCTTTAGGCAGAGTGAAAGCTAATGTAATGAAAGTGGTTGAATTGATCTTAAAACAGTGGATTCACTGTAGCTCAGACACAGCATTGCAAACACTGAACACATTTGGGTGAAGCTGCTGCTGCAGGGACTTTTGCCTCAGTAGAATCAAAACCGGTTGTTGACTCCTTGCAAAGACAAACAGCCAGTGCTGTGTTGTTCTTAGAGACTGAGTTGTGCAGTTAGTCAAACATGGCTGTTCATAGCCAGTAAAAATAGGTCAAATGAAGAACACAAAAGCATGAGATCGAGTCTGACTCTGGAATAAAAACAAGCTGCACAACTTGTCAGGCCTGTGTCTGGCAGCTGTGGCAGGGGAGGGTTTCTGTAGAAGTGCAGCCTCATCCTGACAGGAACGGTTGTGTTTACCAGCTGGACAGCTGCAGAGCAGCCTCTTGCTTCATGTCAAGGTTATGGGGGTTAGTGAACTTTACTGGAAATCCTGCATTTCCTCACAAAGGCACACAGACATGTTTCTCATTCACTGCCTACACACTGATGGTAACTGCAACCACCAGCACTACATGTCTAATCTTTAACTAACTAACCAGAAACCCAGCGTGAAGCTGTCCTGGTTCTCACAGGGGCCTGCTGTTTGTCCATGGCCTGACTCTGACAAACAGACCTGGGGTCAGCAGAGGGTCAGAGGGAGGATCAGTGCTGGAACACAAGAGGAAGCACAAAGTCCAGACGGGTTTCAGACTGAACGTCAGGTCTGTGCAGGAGGATGGAGGTTCTGCTGGTTCTGGTTCTGCTGCTGATTGCTGTGCAGCGTTCAGGTCAGTCTGACTGTTAACATGTTCTTTCGGTCTTTGTCTGTTTGTCAGCAGGATGTGTGTAAAACCCCCGAGCAGATTTAGGCTCTGCAGGAAGTTTGTGGGCAGAGGAACGAGAAGGTCTTAGAATTTCTTGTGCTGTGTGACGGCGTTTTTACAAAGCTGTTGATTGCACTGCTGGAAAATATCTGGAGCCTGAACCTCCTGACTGTCGCTCACTCTGTGTTTTAAAGCAGATGAAACATTTTGACAGTGTTTCTCTGATTAAAATCTCTTAACAGGCTTTTCCACTTTATAAACCTCTTGCCCTCGTCTGAAATGAACTAGTAGTCCTCATCAGCTGACTGCACAATAACATGTTCGGCTGACCCGTGGAGGGTTCTGCAGCTCACACTGAAATATGGAGGTGAACCTTCTCTGGCCGTGCTTGTTTCTCTCGCAGAGCAGGAACGTGTTCCGGCCCCATGATGCCACTGAGCGATTTATTAAGTAGCAGGAGCACTTTGAAATGGATTGTGTAGGTGACTGGTAGCCAGCGTCAGCACCAAGGAACAGCAGTGATGCGCTCAGTTCTGGTTCTGGTAAAAACTCTGGCAGCAGCATTTTAATCAGTTTTTGTCTGTATAGCTGTAGAATCAAGCGGCGCAGTGGTGTCCGTCTTTTCCCTCTCGGTGCCAAAAACAACTTCACTATTGTTTTTCTTTAACTGAAGTAAATTTGACTGCATGCAGGTCTTTCCTCGCTCTCAGCACTGATAGAACACACATACTCCACTTAGAAACCTACACCGTGCGTGTACACGTGCACGTTTGTCAGATTAAAGTATGATTATAAGCAAGTTGCAATAAAGTCCAGTTTTTTCAAAGCGACTGTTCAGTGTCAGTCAGTAGCACAACAACCAAGTTCAGCTCAAACAGTAGTAAAGAGCGGGGCGGCGGTGGTGAGAAGGGACCCACCTGGCGAAAGCACCAAGTACACAAAGCTATGAACAGCTTCTTTGTTTCACTGTCTGAAAATGCAGCGTTCAGCTCAAAGACAAACGCCACAGATGCAGATTCCACTAAATCAAACTGAGTCCTGTGTGTAAATTTCTTTATTGGACGTTTGCCTGAAAATTGTGTAACTTGTGATGAGAAACAGACTTTCCCTGTGTTGAAATTCACCTCTATCACGCACGCACGCGCGAGCACATAGCTGTGATGAGGCTCAAGTGTTCATCTGCTTCAGTGCATTTTAGATGGAGAGTATTTTACACCACTACTGATGCTGTTCAAGGGAAACGGGGCTCAGGTCCTGTGTCACCTGCTGAGCTGCACGTTGACGCAGAAAACTGGCAAACTGTGGGTTAACAGCTGTAACCTGTGTGTGTGTGTGTGTGGGTGCACGTAGAGTGTGTGCAGTGTTTTGTACATTTCGACCTGGTCTCCGGTCAGTGTGATGGAGAGCTCGGGGAGGTGGACAAGGATGACTGCTGTCAGAACCCTCAGTACGGTTACAAGACAGAAGATGGAGTGTGCCATTTTTGTGGGTCAGTGCGCACACACACACACACACACTTCTTGGAGACTTGCCCCGACCTTAAAGATGCATTAACTCTCATTCTCCACATTACATTGTCTTATAAATCCAGTGAAAGTGGGACGTGGTATCTCTGATGCTGGTTATTAGTTATGATTGCAGTCACAATGAGGGTTTCTTCTCTTCTGTAACGAAACCTGTCTGTGTGTGTGTTTTCAGTCGTCTGGTGTGGTCTACCTGGTCGCCATGGTCACACTGTAACGTCTTGTGTGGCGAGGGGGTGAGGCAGAGACACAGGAAGTGTTTTGGCATCGGCGACTCCGGGTGCAACAACATTGTGGAGAAACTGCAGACAGAGCCGTGCAGTGGCGTCTGTTGCGAAGGTACACACGCTGAATCATGTTTCTGACACTTTAGGGGACATTACCGTGACATAGACGTTGTGAGGACACGTATACTTACCATAGCAGCTTGCCTAACTGTACCTTTAAACAAGTCTTCACCCTGAAATATAATAATTTACGATATGTGGACATGTGTTTTGTCCCCATAAGGATGTCAAGTCCCCAGATATTCTCTTTCCGCTTCTTTTGATGGAAATTGTAAATGCAAATAAAACCTTGTGGACAGAGACGCACACATTATCACATGAATGTTGAATTTTGTGTGTAGATAAGGGGTGGGGCTTGTGGCTCAGCTGGTCGCCCTGCTCAGTCACCTGTGGAGAAAGCGGAGTCAGGAAGAGAGAGCGAGTCTGTTCCAGTCCTCCTGAGTGTCATTTGGCCTGCAATGGTCCTTCCAAGGAGACGCAGAACTGTTCCCCACAGAGCACCTGTCCAGGTAACATGACTGTCTACCTGTCCGCCTGCCTACCTACCTATCTATCTCTCCCAGCCTAACTCTTTCTCTCTCTCTCTCTCTCTCTATACACCTGTCTATCTCTCAGTCCACGGTGGTTGGTCCAGCTGGTCCAATTGGTTTAAGTGTTCTGGTTTATGTATCGATGAACAGCGTGGTGATGTTCCCACCAGAACGCGACATCGTTCCTGCTCTAGCCCCGCCCCGTCTAATGACACAGTGCCACCTGGTGACCGTTGCCCTGGACAGGGCTTCCAGGTCCAGGATTGCAGCGAGCTTCCCAACTGTCCAGGTGAGAGGGGACTAATAGATGACCCTATCACAAAGAGAGTTCAAGGCAAAGTCACAGTCCGTGAGCTCTGATTGGTTGTCTTTGCAGTGGATGGCAGCTGGGGGGCGTGGTCTCCACCTGGGCCATGCTCCGTCACCTGTGGCGAGGGGCTTCAGCTGTCAACAAGGATGTGTAACAGCCCTGCCCCTAAATATGGCGGTCGACTATGTGAAGGGTCGAGTGCTCGGAGCAGTGTCTGCCAGAGTCCCTGTCCTGGTACCACACACACAAACTCACTGACAAGTTTATGTCAAACAGAGCTCACAGACAGGTACAGGTAAAACCTGACTCGCTCTCTGCCTGTCTGTGCGAGTCTGAGCTGACTGGGTGATGGAGCTAAACAGCAGGTGGAGCTGATTCCCCAGTCAGTGTTGTTAAACCACTAAAGAGGAGGGAAACCCTCAAGTCAAGGACGATGGAAATCTGACATTTCTCTTAGTTTTGTGTGCTAAAGGAGCTCGTGCTCAATTAGCTTACCTGGCTATCTCCTCATCAAACAAACATGACTCAGCAGACACACCAGCTACAAACAGCGCCCTCTGCTGGAGCTACTGGAAACCCTCCAGCCAGACACAAAGCAGGCCAACGTGTTTATGAACTGTAGTTTAAATGTGGGTGTATCAGTGACCTAAGTCTTTCTGGGTCAAAAACAGTGGACGGGTTCTGGTCCGGCTGGTCCAGCTGGGGTGAGTGTTCCTCGTCCTGTATCCCAGAAGGCCGACCCCCCGTCAGGACTCGCCGCCGCTCCTGTTCTAACCCCACGCCTTCATCCAGCCCACGTGGCAAAGGGTGTCAGGGTGATGACAGCCAGACGGAGAACTGCAACAACCTGCCTAACTGCCAAGGTACGCCTGTTTGTCAAAGTACGGTTACCACTCCTACACCGCCTGTACGCCTACTATACATCCACACACTGTGACTCAACAGCTGCATGAGATGATAGTTGATGCCCAGGTGTTTCACTGATAACAGACTGTCAGGTGTTTCAGCACCTCCCAGGTGTCTCTGTAGAGACGGTAATGGAGGAGCAGGTTCAGTCTCAATATCGTCGTCTGTCTCTGTCTGTGTCCCTCTATCAGTTGATGGAGGCTGGGGGTCCTGGTCTCCCTTCACTCCCTGTCCTGTTACCTGTGGGATGGGCCCCCAGGTGTCAGTCAGGAGATGTGACAGCCCTGCCCCCAGACATGGTGGCCAGCCGTGTCTTGGCGAGGGGCGTCGCACCAGCGTCTGTGCAACCAACGTCCACTGTCCAGGTACATACAAGAGTTTTGTGTTTACTGCATAAAAATGTTCTGAAGTCAGCCAATCAGCTTGAGTCCTCCTCCTAAGGCAGCCATTCACAGCTGTTTATTTATTCCAGTAATATTTTTCCTACTTCACTCATTTTTCATGGATAGTTTTGATGATACTTTTTGGACAATGAATTTTTTCTTTGAATGTAATATTTTAATTTTATATTAAAGTATTTTTCTGTCATTTTACAAATATTTTGACTCAGACTACGTCGTGAGACTGAATAACCACCTGTTATGTGTCCAGTTTGATCCTGACGCCGCTGTGATGGAGGCAGCGTCTGAGTGTGCATCGTTTAACTCAGCTGGTGAACTTGTGTGTTTGCAGTGGACGGAGTGTGGTTGGACTGGTCGCCCTGGAAACCGTGTAAATACCCGTTTGGTGATAAGGAAATCCGCTGTAAGCAGCTGGGCGGCAAACAGACCCGAGACCGCCTGTGTCATCCTCCAGCCTTTAATGGGTCTATCTGCAGCGGAGCAGAAGCCCTGACAGAAACACGGGTCTGCTATGACGTCAACCGTTGTGTCCGTAGGTGACTTTCTGTCTACAAAATGCATTTCCGAGGCTCTAACTCTGCTCTTACAGGAATTTTCCAAGTTGGTCCTCTCACGACTGACTGTAAACAAATCAAATACAAATGGAGGAGAAACAGGTCCCCCTCATTCTGTGAACAAATACACCCAAAGTTCATGTGGGGCTCAAGTGACAATTCAGTTGCCCCAGTAAAGTGACATGAGTCAGTATCTGTCAATGTTACTCTGAGACAAATATGTATGTTTCGTGTCCCTGGACAGTAGCTTCCTGTCGAGCTGTGGCGGAGGGATACGTTTTAGTAGCTGCATGTCAGTTTGTTGTTTTTAGCTGGTGTGTACTTCTCAAACTGTACTGGGAGTTAACTTGGAGGCCAGTTTGTAGTTTGCAGATTCAATAGCTAGAGTATTTTTGCAGCTTGTGATTTTGGGACTGGGACACCAGTAAAACCTTCCCAGAGTCTGTGTTTGGATTACATTTGTGCTTGTGTAGTATCTCAGAATCGCTCCAGGTTTTTCTCCTGTTTATTCCTGACTCATCTTCGCCTCGTACAAAGGAGAACATGGTTCGTGCCTGCTTTTATTCTTAAAGAAAGAAGCAGTGGGCAGAAGCATTCCACAGATTTCACCTGACGGCCCTGCCTGGACCAAGCTGTGGCTACTAGCGGTCACAAAGGGCTTAGGGCCGTGACACACCAAGCCGACGGTCGGGCAGAGAAAGGAAGCTTCTTAACAGACGTATTCTCCATTAGAAGCAGCTGCCAACAGCAGCAGAGGCTTTATTAATGGCTTGTATTTCCACGTCCACCTCTGATTCTTTCTCTTTCTGAACGGCGACTAGACACCGCCACCTACTGGGAGTTACTTCTGTCACGTGGGCCCAGAACACATGCGCTAGTCGGCCGGTGGCTGTCGTCTGTGTGATGTGTTCAAGTGTCACTTTTTCAACCCGACTGACCCAAACAAAGCCGACGTGAGGCAACGCAGAGGTCGACCTGCTGGTTCTTTCACCTTGGCATATGTGGGGTGAATCATGCGCCAATCAAATATTTACAGGTTTATGCTGCACTTTATTGGTGCCTGATTCATCCAATACACTGTGGGCTGTATTTTACCATATTACCAAAATGTCACAAAGGAGTTTATTGGTACAAACTGGTTTAGTGACAGTTGATGTGTCTCCAGAGCTAACGTGGCCTTGGTGAGCTTTGTTATTGTTTGTGTTTGTTGTGTTGCAGTGAAGGGCAGCTGGGAAGGCTGGGAGCCATGGAGTTTGTGTAGACCACCCTGTGGAGGAAGCCCCCAACGCGCCAGGAGGAGATACTGTAAACCTGATTACAGCAACTACAAGTCAGTTTACCTGCTTTTTGAATTTGAGCATAAAAAACTGAACATATCACAAATATTGGTGTGGATAGACAGTCGGTGAAGCAGGCTCCAAGAATAAGTAGAGAGACGGGAACATGAGAAGTGTGCGAACAACATGAGCTCCAGTATCACCAGTAAGTCATACTGGGCATTAATCAGTAACAGTGTCAGTGGAGAAATGTCAAAGATGTGTTGCTCATGTAAACATTAGAGAGATTGTCCATCAGACAAAGCACAGATCTGGTTCCAGGATCCTTATTGGTGTTTACACGTGTTCATGTCAAACTGACAGATGTATCAGCTTTTTGAAGCCGACAGATTCTGATGTCACTATGAAAATATCCATGTGGCCATTTGTATTGCAGTCCTACCATTGGTCGCCAGAAGATCCCAGCGATATTCTTCGGAAATCCAAATGCTGACTGCGGTTTCGTGACCCTCGCAGAGAAGACTGAGGTTCAGCCCTGCATCAACGTCCCCCCCTGCCCCTAACAACACATTCATCGATGACTCGATGTAGGCTGCAGTTCTTTTCCAGGTGCTGATGAACCTGTAGGAGCATGTTTGGTTTACACAAGTAAAAGTACCACTACATTAATGAAAAAATCCTCTATTGTAGTATAAGTATTATCAGTGTAATGTAGCTAAAGCATCAGCAGTAAAACCTGTGGTGGAAAGTAACTAAATACCTGTACTTAAGTACAATTTTCAGGTACTTGTACTTTACCTGAATATTTCCATGTCCTGCTCCTTCATCCTGTGACTTCACCTCATGTCAGAGACAAACCGTGTACTTTTTACTACACTACATGTACCTGATAACTTCAGGTCCAGAACCAGATGAATCAAACCCAGTAGAACCATCAGACTCTATTGATCCCAGTAGGAAATCCACCAGCTACCCAGCAGGATGGAAAGTACTTCCCAGTATAAGTATATAAGGTAGTTACCATCAGCTCCACCTTTACCAGCTGCAGCATTAAAGTGATGGACACAGTAATTAGTCACTATGATCCAGTATCAGAGACGTTACTGGGACACGGGCCGTTCTGCTGGACGGGTACTGGTACTGCTGGTACTTCAGGTAGATTTGGAGGCTGATATTTTTGTAAATTACCTCAGTCTGTCTTAAGTACAGTATTGGAGTAAACGTACTTTACTGTTGAAGTATTAGCACCACCGGGTGTTTCTGATATTTTGTCCAGCCCTTGTAAAGTGACATTCATCACTCACCTGTTCAGGTTTTATTGCTGCTCTTGGAGCAGCTCACTTCGCTTGTCTCTCTTTTCTCCTCAGATATGAATCTGATGCAGCTGCTCTGTCCTTGAAGATTAAAGTTGTTTGTCTTATGTCTCCACAGTGTTTCTGACATTTTCAATAATACACAGGGCTTTTATTGTGAAGTCTCCAGTTGCAGGTTCCTACCATTTCCAGCTGCATCAGGAGATGACCCAAAGCATGCTGGTTAGTTTTCTGTCTGACTCGATCAAGACTTGCTCTGACGTAACAGCCACGTGGTCAACAATATTCTCCTGGGATCGAGGCGCTGCAGTTCTTCTCTGACCGGAGGACGGGGACATCCTGTCTCTGCTCCTTGGAAGCGCCACTGGAGATTTGTTTTTCTCACTTGATATTCATTTGTAAACTGTTCATTCTAGGCCTGTAGGATTCGGCTCTCTTCCTGCTACTGGCTGTTAAAGTCACCAAATAAGAGTCGGCAGCGAACTTCTACCTTAATAGAAACCCAGGAGACGGTATTGCCGCAAACATTTCATATACCAGGTTTAATACCAGTCAAACTTTAACAACGGGAACAAAATGAGTTATGTGGAGCCACGTGGCCGCGTCACTGACTTTGTCATGTAGAAACCAGAGGAGGTGATGGCTGTTGGTTCGGTCTCTCCTTAAATCTTCCAATTTTTCTTTAGCTGCTTTCATGCAGATCATAAGCTGAGACACGGACTGTGCAGCACATACACACGACTCTGAACTGACTCAGTCTTAAACCACCTGCAAACTGGTTGCACACCTGAAATGCTTCTCTTGACGTCAGAGTTGTGACTGGATGAGCAGCAGGTGGAGTTAAAGGTAGAAAATAATGCGCAGTAGTAAATGAATACAAGCTGAACTCATCAGGACTGTGCTGGACAGAAGCCTGATGTGGTGGGCGGTGGACCATGGACAAGCTGTTGACAACAGACAGCAGGTTTTAGTTTCCTCCTGGAGATGGAGGGCAGAGCTTTCAGAATCAGGTTTTCGGGTAAACCTCAGTTTTTAAAACATCATATACAAGCACAGCGTGTACGCGATGACAGCAGCTCGACTCCAACCGCCGACTGTGTGGTGGGTCCGATCCACTGACCCCCTCCGTCCTGTCCACTTACTCCGTAAAATAATAAAAGCCTAATGCCAAAAAACCTGTTGAATCTCATTTCTGAGCTGAATCGTGTAGTTTTCTATTCCCAGTCACTGATCTGCTCGGTTTTCCATTAATTGTACTGATCTCATAAACTGAAATATCTCTGTTGGATTCACAGTTTTCGTTGATGCCTCATGTTGAATTTATTATAGAAGTACATTAAAATAAATGTTACTGTTACTGAAGATGGTGAACTCTGACATAGTTTTAACTGGGCACCGCTGTAGTTTCAGATGCATCGACATTAACTGTCCTTTGTCCTCAGCTTCCATTGTTTACATCAGTTTGTCTTTATTGTTCATTTCTTTAAAAAAAAACCATCATCGAACTGGATTCACTTCCTGAACCTGGTTTCTTGCTTCTCTGCACATTGACCTCTGATGCTCTGGTTGCTGGTTGTTGCATCGTGTCACTTTATTTACTTCTGTGTTTGTTTACTCTATGCCCTGCTGATGTGGTGTGTGACTGTGGGAGAGTCGTTGTGTGTTCTTTTTATTGTCTTTGTTTTGATGTATTTGTTTACGTGTGTGCGTCTAAGGAGCCTCTGATGCATCTCCAGGGGTTTATCTTCTAATTAAATTGGAAATAAATAAGTAGTCTGACATGTGGAACCTGCAGAACCTCATGAGTAAAACAAAGTTAGACCGGTTCAGTGGGACGCGGTGTTTTCTCTTAAAGTGCTTAAATGTTTCAGTCTCGGTCAAATGATTCAGCAGAGTAAAGCAATAGTCCTGTTGCCCTCAGTGTCTGAACATTGCCTTGTTTCTGTGGCTTTGATAAAGTGACGAGTGTTCAGGGAGAACTCCTCTTCCTCACGTCTTCAGTCAGCAGCTCTTCTCTCACTGGAAGACAGAGGTTAAATCCAAGTCACTTCACCTGAAAGCTAAATTTGGTGGGGTTTTGGGACCAAACTCAACATTAACTGTAGTGTAATTTCATAGGTTTTTGCATAAAATACACAGCAATGTGTTGAAGAAGATGCTAAAATTGTTGATTGAATTATTGAACATTTGGAGGGCAGTCATTCATTTACATTAAACAAAGAATTTTGGAACTATTAAGCGGGAGAGTAAAACTGAGATGAAAATGAAAAAAAAAAAGATCAGTAAGAAAGATGGAAAGAAGATGAAGTACTGACATACAGTATAAGGTGTTTTTGTCCTGCTGCTCTCACAAAAAGCTGAGAGTTGGCATGAGCTGTGGGCTGAATGAGCAGACTTTCAATGGGAGTCTTGAATGTAAAGACGGTAAGAGCTCACCGTTCAGCTGTGCCCCGGGGTGAACGTCACTCCTTTCCCTGCTCTTTCCTGGGATCCGCTGCTGCTGCTGCTCAGCGGGCTCCTTCTCATGATACCTGGACCACAGCCACAGGCTCTGCTCATATTACTATTTCCTGTCATTGTAATAAGCATTATCATTTGGTTTCTTGCAGCTGTGCTGTGCAGTGTGTCCTCCCACCTGCAGGGGGCAGCACCTCCAGTCTCTGCAGGTTGTTCTTGCGGTTAGGTGTGTAATTTCCATTCTTGGAGATGCGACGATGGCGGTGGTTCAACATGGCAGCTGGAGAGAAGATAGCTACCGGAGGGACTTTCCCGTTCCTCAGGTACAGCTCCTCGATCTCTCGCTTCTGATTTGTCTGTAGGTTCTGCACCTCCACCAGGTGTCTGGGAGGACAGGTGAAAAGGGTTTAAAGACTTGCTGCCAGAATCACTCATTTGTTTCTTCTAATTAACAGCTTCATTAACGGATACATGACAGATTATTGGCACAGGTTAGCAAGCATCCCATCAATCCACTAGTCACCTTTCACGAAGCTCCTGTAGCTCCTCCCACATCTCATTTTCACCCTCTGATTCGTCAGAGCTAATGTAAGCCACAGAGCGGCTCCATGATTGGCTGGAGCTGCTGCTGGTCATCCCAGGGCCTCCAGCTGACCCCTCCCACCGACTGATGCTCAGCCTCCAACCCTCCACCCTCTCCTTCTCCTCTTCCTTCTTCCTCCTCCTCTGCTCTTGTCCTCCAAGGTAACCAACAGGGGAGGAGACAGACACTTGGATAATACTGTTCCCCGATTCGCTCTGCTCCTCTGTGCTGCTCTCCGAGCTCTCTGATTGGTTGTTCCTGGAGGGAGGTGGGGAGTGTGCAGGGGGTATGGCCTCATTGAGGAGGCGTGGCTCCTGATGATGGACACCAGGGACATCTTCAGATGGCGTCACCTGGAAACGGCCAACGCTGAAGACTGACGGTTTCTTTACTGAGACACAGAAGAACATCAGACGTGGAAGTAAACAAGATTGTTTTCACTCTGTGTCCCTTGCAGTTTTGTCCATTTTCAAAATCTACTTACCCTCCTGTATGGGAGACAGTTTGGGTGATGGTGAGGTGGGCGAGGACACCTGGACAGGAGAGACGGTGTTTATTTCAGTAGGACATTTCTGCACTGTGAGGACATGTGTCTGGCCCTCACAGAATCAGGTTTATGCTAGTGGCGAGAGGATGCATTATGTCAGCGAGTGTGTCTTACTCTGTTGGGAGGAGTCGATGCAGGTGGCGAGAAGGCTGAGAGTTCTCCTCTGGGTTTGGGAGCACTGGGAACACTGGTCAGACTGGGAATACTGGTCAAACTGGGAGTACTGGTCAGACTGGGAACACTGGTCAAACTGGGAGCACTGGTCAGACTGGGAACAGACTGGGAGTAGTGGTTGTGGTCAGACTGGGAACACTGGTCAAACTGGGAGCACTGGTCAGACTGGGATTTCTGGTCAGACTGGGAATACTGGTCAAACTGGGAGTAGTGGTCAAACTGGGAGTTCTGGTCAGACTGGGAATACTGGTCAAACTGGGAATACTGGTCAAACTGGGAGCACTGGTCAGACTGGGAATACTGGTCAAACTGGGAATACTGGTCAGACTGGGAGTTCTGGTCAGACTGGGAACACTGGTCAAACTGGGAGCACTGGTCAGACTGGGATTTCTGGTCAGACTGGGAACACTGGTCAGACTGAGAGTAGTGGTCAGACTGGGATTTCTGGTCAAACTGGGAGTAGTGGTTAGACTTGGAACACTGGTCAGACTGGGAGTTCTGGTCAGACTGGGAACACTGGTCAAACTGGGAGTAGTGGTCAGACTGGGCGATCTGGTCAGACTGTGAACACTGGTCAAACCGGGAGTAGTTGTTAGACTGGGAGTTCTGGTCAAACTGGGAGTTCTGGTCGGACTGGGAGCAGTGTTTAGACTGGGCGATCTGGTCAGACTGTGAACACTGGTCAAACCGGGAGTAGTTGTTAGACTGGGAGTTCTGGTCAAACTGGGAGTTCTGGTCGGACTGGGAGCAGTGGTTAGACTGGGCGATCTGGTCAGACTGTGAACACTGGTCAAACCGGGAGTAGTGGTTAGACTGGGAGTTCTGGTCAGACTGGGAGTAGTGGTCAGACTGGGAACACTGGTCAAACTGGGAGTGCTGGTCCGACTGGGAGCAGAGATGTTCTCTGAACCTGTGAACCAGATCAGTGATCAGCTGTCACTTTTTATTTGAGTCTTAAACAGATGGTCAGTGAGCTCAACAGGCCGTTTGATGTCATTTGCCTCGTGGTCCAGCAGAGGGCGTTCTTAAACACCACTGTCAGCTTGACTAGTTACAGTCCTGTTGACCTCTCAGCATAGTGAGCTAGTAACATTCTGTGTGTAAGTACAAAATGTACATGAGTACTAGTAGCGAGCGAAGTTGTGTTGATTGGACAATAGGAGCTGTTTTCAGATGGGGGTGCGGTCAGGGAATTATTTATGGGGGTAGGGGGCTACATGGAACAAGCCAATGTGCAGCCACTTTTCACGTCAACACCACATGAAACAACACTAAAAACACCACGGCCGTTGCGCCTTAAAAAGCAACTGTGCAATTTTTCAAAATTAGACAATTACCATTAACATGAGAAGAACCCGTTTACACAAAGGCAGGCTAACGGAACTGAACTCAGCTGACCAGCTGTAGCCTGGAGGTGACTGTCGCTAGGATTCTCAAGGCCATTATACTTCAGATCCGAAAGCTGAATCCATGCTCTACTGCCGCACTGGAGACTGGACCTGCCAGCTCTGCTTTAGCCAAAGTTTTGAAGTCAGGCAACATTTTTCTCAGGAAATGATTAGAAGTTCCTCTGAATGTGAGATTTTCCAGTCCTGTCTCACTCACTTCACCAGGAGGAATCGGCTGCACGAGCTCCTCCTGCACCAGAGGCACAGCCGTCCCCTCTGAATAGGCTACTTAAGAAGCTTTAATAAAAAATTGAGTTCCAGAAAATTACTGCTCATGAAAACTGAACAGAATTTGAGATCCAAAATAAGCCTTAATAATTCTATAGGCTCATCTGTCATAAGCACAATTCACTACTAGGTAAAAATGTAGGAATTTGTTTATAATTAATTTGTCACTGCAGGAATGTTGCAGATCTGACATCAAGTCCACGCATAAAGTTACAAAATAACAGAGGAACAGCTCATGAGGCAAGATAATAAATATTCTACGCATGTCCCAATCAATCATTTTACAGGTAGCCTATGACTCAGAGCAGGTAAAGTCACTCCAAGCTGCTGCTGTCAGTCACTCGGTGCAGTGGAAATGGTTCGATCACTTGGTAAACAGCTGTGCGCTCCTCATTCTTAGTTTTTAGTTTAAATGTAATTGTTTGTAATTTTAACTACCTATTAGCCTACTGCTCTCAGGGGCTAGTAAAACTTATATGAATTGCACCAATTCAAATTATAACACAAAATAAAGTAGCAGCTCTACTTCCCATCTCAGAATGGCAGGATTTGTAGTTCTATGCTGCAAATGGCAAAATATCAACAAAGATGAAATTTGCAGACTCAAAAAAAAAAAAAACAGATGCTAAACATGTCTGAAGTCTGCAGTCTCGCTCTCCAAGTGACCCACCGGAGAAATGTTAGCCCGAGTGGAGCAGTGTCCACTTTACAGCCTGGCAGCACATAATGCAGCCAAAGGTACCGACTTAAATCTTTTATTGAATCTTCTTCTCCTTCTTTCGGCTGTTCCCGTTAGGGGTCGCCACAGCGAATCATCTGTTTCCACCTAACTCTATCCTCCTCATCCTCTACTCTCACTCCAGTTAACTTCATGTCCTCTTTTAGCACATCCATATATCTCCTCTTTGGCCTTCCTCTTGACCTCTTGCCTGGCAGCTCCATCTCCAACATCCTTCTACCAATATAACCACTATCCCTCCTCTACACATGTCCAAACTGTCTCAATCTGGCCTCTCTGACCTTGTCCCCAAAACAGCCGACCTGAGCTGTCCCTCTGATGTGCTCATTCCTAATCCTG